TTGAAAGTCTCGAACTCGCTTTCAAGAATCTTAAAGATATCGAGATTTTTTTCAACTACTCGAGATGAGGCGGTCCCAGTGTAAAATATCAAGATGAACCAGACGAGACCTACGAAAAACTCGTCTCAAAACCTCAAAAAATTTTCGAGACTCTCGAAAATCTCGAAGGTCTCGAACTTGCTCTCAAGACCTTCAAGAGTCTTAGGGATCTCGAAATTTTTTGTGAGACTTTGAAATGAGACTTTTTCAACACCACGACCTATGGAATAGACCTCCATAGAAAATATTGTCCTACGAGGTATCGTTCTCACAATATCGATCAATCCCTTCCTTATGAAAAAAAAAATTTTTGTCCCAAAACAATTACAAAGGACACGAAGTCTCGGTAACCCGAAACCAAAAGAAAAAGAAGCGTCGCCTCACGCTGCGCGTAATCACCAATACGCATAATCCCCGATAGAAATGATAACAAAAACCATCCCCGTTCCCCGACTGGCAGTTGTCCAAGAGCTTTTGTCTCTTTCACGTAAATATAAAGAAACTACGTGACCCCGCAAACAAACAAACCAACAAACGACCTGAAAAATCATGCATCAACATACGCATGACACGCGATAAATCACCTCGTGTGTGTATGTGTACACGTGTGTATCACATTGACGCTTTCTCGCGCGAAAAGCCCGTAAACGAAGAACCGAATCTCCCAGTAGCCGCATTACGTGAGAAGAACGCGAGCCGAGATCGGCAGGGCGTGAAAAATTGGACAGCAATTTCGGGCTGCGATGCAAACTGCTTTCCGCTTCAGTTCTGGAAATATCCCTCATCGTCGTCGAGCTATTTTTTTTCCTCCTTTCCTCGGCATCATCCTCAAATCGGTTTCGGCTAAGGGTGCACCTCTATGTATATATGACGTGTACATGTACGGAAGATATGTAAGGTAATAACGATTTTCCCCCGTCCCCTCCCCGGGGCAGACCCCATTACGTCGATGCTGCATAATGCAGATCGGATGCGATATATGTGCGCTCGATTTGACGATCGAATAGAACGGACAACGAGGAATATATATTATATATCGGAATCTTCCAATGGTACCGGTGAGCTCGAGGTATGGGGTCTCATTTCGCGCTTTATTTGACTGTCGAATCTATATGTCAGTACCTTCATCCAATTTTTACACGCGTTTGTACGTAGTGTACGAATTATCTATTACGAATTTTTCGGGCATCCATACTTTTTTAATACTTGTCCTAATTATTTGTCCGCACTATAGCAGTGCTTCAAACAATTGCTTTACGACTTTTTTCGGCTGCTGAAACTGTTTTTTAAAAGTTTTTATTTCTTTTGCCATTTTCGCAAAAAAACGTAATTCACGTAGTGAAATATCCAAACATTACCATATCTTTTAGTTTTATATTTATTAATTTTTTTTTATTTAAAAAATGTTTTTGCTTTGTCCTCTTAGTTGGCTGAACAACATAATTCTAAGTTAGTCTTCTCAAGTACTTTTACGTATTATTTTGGGTTGAAATTTCGAAATTAAAAGTAAAGCGAGACAAAATTCAACCAAAACAATAAAAAAAATTATGAAAAAAAAAAAATAAATAAATAAATAAAAAATACAATCACGTGCATTATTGCAGGAAATTTGTAAGAAAAAACTATGGATCGTATTGAAAACAAAAAAAAGTGTTATTTCACACTCAAGTGGGTTAAAAAGACACACGTCAATTTGCAGTGTAATTAGCATCAACGGAAATAACGCTCTTAATTGACAATATTTATAAAGAAAAACTGATTAATTTTTGTTTTTCAGCCAAGTCAAATGAGAGCATTAAACGAAAAAACAAAGAAAAAAAATGAAAACTAATAAGCACTCGCGCAATAGGGTCTAGCGTCGGAAACAAAACAATGGCCCAACGAAGCCAATTACAAGCTGCACGTTCGCCCGTGCATATTTAGGTGGATATTCCCTTACATGTGTACCTGTACACTATATGTGCGCGTATAAGGGCTGTACGTAACTATCGTATTGTCCAGTGGCGCGACTCTCTTGTGGAGCTCCATACACGCACGTGCGATCCACAGTATATATACGGTACAATCACGTGCACACGTGTGCCGCATTGTCATCGAAACGGCTTGCCATGTGTATAGGCACCTCCCACCACGCGGTCCATGTTATTCCTCCTTTTCTTTTTTTTTTTTTGTTACCAAATCGAGTTAATTTGTACGCATACCTATACCTACTTACCTCGCGTACGAACGCACAATTGCGCGACGATTTGGAAAATTAACACCGCCCTATCGAGTACCCGCGATATTATTTCTCCATCTTTCCGCTTATTACAGAATTGCAGCAGATTTTTCTTTCAAAAAAAAAAAATAAATAAATAAATAAGTAAATAAAGGAAGGAAGGAAAAAAACATTTGCAGCGAAATACTTGAGAAGAACTCTCACACCGTCACTCGACTCGGATATCGGGGTGTGTATAGGGTACAGCCGCAGCGTCGTGAAATTTCATTACTCCGATCCTAATTACACCACCATCCCCCTGCCCCTCAGTCTGAACTTCAATGGTACACCCAACAACGTCGTCGGCAAATGTCCCAATAACACCTGCGAGTCACGTACACCCACATGCGTGGGTTATGCAAGGCATCCCTCCAAGTTCCAGCCCAGGCATTAGTATCGGTCGTGGAAATTAAGCTTCGCCCGCGTCGTTAATGCGATACATCCCGGTGTGCGTGTAGGTGTCCGCGATGCTTATTGTCGATGCGCAACCGCGCACGTCCCGGCTATAATATGCAATGCGTGACCTTTCACTTGTACGCGCTAATGAGCTATCTGATTTTTTTTTTTTTTTTTCCACACTTTGCGTCTTTGAGGGATACATTTCACGAATACTCGTGCGCCACTCGTACGACACATGTCTTTGATCGTTGGATCTCGGTGCTTTCGTCATCCTCTCTCGAAATTAATTAAAACCATGATTTGCTGTACTTGAGTTTGTGCGCGGTGCACTGGATGATTATACTCCCTGCTTGTGAATATTATCGTCGAGTGGTACTTCAGAGCTGATTAATTTTTATAGAACACGCGTAAGAGTTGCGGTCCAATTGAATTCTGGAAGAACATGTGTAAAACGAGGGACTGCAAAAAAAAAGTCCTCATTTGAAGTCAACAATTTGAGTCTTAATAAAAATAATCTATTGCCACTTAAAGTGATGATAATACTTTAAATTCTTTTGGACTTAGAAGTCATTAGAAACACATTCTACAACTTCAAAGTCATCCATTAAATGTCAATGATTTTTTGATAAATTTTGTACGCTTTCAAAGTCTGTTAGAGCCTCTAAAAACAATCTATTGCCACTTAAGGTAGTAATAACATTTTTAATTATTTTAAAGTTACCTAATTAAATATTAAACTCATTCAAAGACATTTGAAAGACTTTGGACGACTTCAACGTCATCTATAAAAGTGTTAAAGACTTATTTGGAAAATTTAAAGTCCTTGAAAGTCATGAAATGCCACTTAAAGATATCGTAAATCTTAAAAGCCTGTTAAAGTCATACAAAGATACTATTTGAAGACATTCAAGTTATTTAAAATCACGTAATCTCTTTTACAAGACCTCCAAATTCTCTAAAAATCAAGATTCACAAAAAAACCCTCACATCCATCTTTATACCGTAACAGGAATGATTTTTAATTCCATCGCTACACCAAACGCAATATGCACGACCAAAGGCACATATTGTATCAAGAATCGTCTATAAAAGCATACCGTAGAGATAGCAAAAGGGCAAGTCCATTCCGACACCGGAATCCGTGTAGGAGCACCGTCCGCTACAATATTGAGTGAATCTAATGGCAGCGGCGGCAGTGGATTCTGACCCCTCTCACGTTCCCCCACGTATAATGCGGGGCTCATTTAATTATGTAGCTGATAATCCGGGCGGGGAGCCCTACGATTAGCATATCAATGCGGTATCCCGATTGTGACCCAACTCCCAGACAAGAGAACTTCTTATATTCTCGTTTCGGCGCGGTATCTGCAGCTTATACCGGGAGCCAGTACGTTCCCGTTGTTTACTCGAATGTGTTTAACGCTTCGAGACTCATGAAAAATACAAGGGGTGCATAAGTAAACATCGCGACGTTTTCAAGAATATTAAGGAAATACACGTGTTTGAAGTTCAACTTCAATTTTTGGAGTTTAACTTTTATTTTTTAAAAACAAGTAAAAATCAATGAATACCGTCATTGTTTGCCAAAAAAAATTACTGCAATCATGAAACGATAGGCTATTTGAAAACAAGGGGAACACCCCGAGACAAAAAGCTCAAAAGGTTTTCACCTGAAAACTCCATGTATTGTTCAACGTTTCAAGTCTCAAAAAATACAAGGGTTTCATGAATAAGCATCACGTATTAAATAATATGAACTAAATACTTTTTTGAAGTTTAACTTCAACTTTTTGGTGTTTAACTTTAATTTTTGAAAAACAAGTAAAAATCAATGAATACCGTCATTGTTTGCCAAAACAATAAGCTATTTGAAAACAAAGGGAACACCCCAAGACTCAAAGCTCAAAAGGTTTTCGTCTGAAAAAGTCCATACATCTATATAATTGCACACCCACGTCAAGTTGCAGCGATCGGTCGAACAAAGAAAAAGTGTCGCGAGGAATAAAAAGAGATGCCTTCACGTTTTTGTCCTCAAAGACATTCTTCGAGCAGCAAGATTCGTCTCTCTTTCTTTATGCGCGACTGACTTTTCTCACCCTCAACAGCACGACGTATCGTGCAGGCTGGTTTTTTCCCATCTAAAATTGGAATGTTTTTGTTTTTGTTTTTCCTAGTCTACAGTGTAGTTGTAGGAAATCGTGTTTTTTTTCAGCCTACTTGAGAAATTGACAATGTCCAAAGTTATTTTTTTGACAATTTAAAATTAATTATTACGACGAAAAAGGAAAATGATAATACAAATTACCTCGACGCCGTTGATGACCCACGTGATTACGGCTTTGGGTACGGAGGGCCAGGCAGTGCAATTGGCGGTGAGGTTCTCGCCGACCGCGTACTGCGAGCCCAGGCCCGTTATCTCCGGCTCGTGGTTCGGCAGCACTGAAACAAAGAAGAAAAAAACGTTATATTACAACGTTAAACGCAAATGTAATAACTTTAATTAAAAAAAAAAAAAAAAGCGCATCTCTGCTGTTTATATAGGTGTAACCAACACGCGTTTTGCGCCATTAGTCACGTTCGCGGGCGCGGTATTTATGTGTCATCCGCGACGTGTACGTGAGACCAAAGTCACGCGTGATGTGCGTTATTGCGTGCTACATTTATATGCGCAAGTTGGTATCGATACGTGAACGCGGGCAGTGGTATCTGGCGTCATCGATTGCATACATCATGTTCTCGGAGCTCTTTACATGGAATTTAATTTTTTCATTGGTAAGTTGTTATTATTACTCGTTTTTTGTACTTTTCTGTCCTACTTGCACCGTTTGTCTGTAAGTTGTTGGTGGAACGGCGAAATCTTTTTAACGATTTTCAACCTTTATATTTTAAATTAGTTGAAAATGTTCTTGTCTGACATAAATTTCAATGTAACCGTTTTACACGAGGTTTTCTTCTTCTTATTATTCATTATTTAATTACGGATTTTAAATACATATGGATTCGTTGTCTCTGATGGATTTCCTGTTTCCACTTGGTTCTGTAGACGACGTACTTTTAAGGTCCATTTTCATGATGTTAGTTTTCAACGTCAAGCATCTCGAGTCTCGATCACGTGACAAAAAAAGAGCTGATGGTAAGGTAATTTATCGTCCATTTATAGAGTTTGAACGCATCTAAAATTTTAAAACTAGATGCTAAAATGACTTTCAAAGCTGGAAAATAGTTTATTCATATAAGGGTTGCCTTTCTAACAACACGTTTTGTCACACGCATCCATAAAAATGAACGTTTGCATAATAAGTCAGAAGTGTTTTGTGTACTGTTCAGTTTAATTATAAATCCATTGTACAGCTAAAAAGTAATTTAAAAAATTATGTAAAAAAAGTGTAAGAATACACTTTTGGTTAAAAACCTAATTAATGTAAAATGGTTTTTCACTGCACTCATGATTTACAAAAGCTAGAGTCTCCCACGATATGGATATGGTTAAAAACAAACAGTTTAATAACTCTTGTTTTTATTAAGCGTGGGTACCTACAATAAAAAAATTAAAAAAAAAAAATTTTTCTATGTATACCTATTGAATGTGTACAATATTTTGTGTACGCATTAAGCTTTATTTATTTCTCGTGTAGAAAAAAAGTTGTGTTCAATATGAACGTGTTCAAATTGGAATTTATAAATTATCATGTAAACAATTGAAATACATTGTGTATAAAAGTTTTTGTGTTTATCATTGCGTATAGCTTTTACGTGTACAATTCTAACGTGTCTAATCAATACCCTGTCATACCTATTAGTGTATGAATAAAAGCTTACATTTATCACTTTTTTACACGTTTGTTCTTTTTATTTTTGCACTTGATTTAAACAGCAATTGTAGATATATTGATTTTGGAATTCATTCCACCAGTTAATGTTAATGTTATTCCTTCCAATCGGCGAGCTCATGCAAATAATGATAATGTACACCTATGAATATTCACCGATTCAGATCGAGACACAAGAAAAAGGAGTAAAACCAATAACCCGATAACCCACATCATAGATACCGTGGCGCACAAACCTTGATTTTTGACGATGTGCAGAAAAACAAAAAGAAGAAACACACGTATTCATAACAAGTATGGCTTCTATGGTGGCTAAACAATTAATCAACTTTTCTCGTGCCAACCTCAATCACGTGAACTCGCGACTCTCATTTCCATACAACTCGCGCTAAATTGAATATTTGCAACCAGTGAGACTTCCATTTCTCGCACTTACACACATTGTACTTACTTCATCGTGTTTCGAACGTCTCGGATCTTTTTTTTTTGTTACATTGGAAAGTATATCCATATATTGTTCTCGAGATAAATGTGCTAACTGTAGGTGGTAATTGGACGAAGCGAAACAAAATTCTTCTCCAACGCCTGTCCGCCCATCACTGATGGACTCGGTCTTACCTCACTCGCTTGTATCTACTTACAAAAAACGCTCCTCGCTATTCGAATAAACACCAAACATCCCTTCGCATTCGATATCCCCTCAACTCTTGGGCGTCGACGTCTCGGTCATTAATACCTATACAGCGTAGACTTCCCTTATCTGCAATTAAAGGGTCTTTCCAGCGAAAGTTTTCGCAGCACCCCTGCAACTGTTGTAAAAAAAAAAGAAACTCTGCGAAAACAAAAGAACCAAGGCCTCTCGAAACTTTGTCACGCGTATAGTAAAAGTTGGGCCATTGAAAAGTTGTCGGATCATTGCGCCCAACTCCTTGGTGTGCGTATTTTTTTTAACCCATTGTATACAATACAGTGTACTTTGTTCCGGAAAACACCTACACACGAGAGGGCTTCCCCGTAAGTACCCCAGCCAATGTACCTTCGTATGAAATATTTGGGCAATAGGACACCCATGTAGTCCGAGAAAAGACGCGCAGCGCCGTACATGTATTACCAAACGCGCGAAAGGGCCATCGAATTTATGACTACCGATATACGTGCATACATCCGCTCCTTCCCGTTATTATACATATATATATATACGTGGAGCCGGTGGAGTTTCGCATAAAGGTATGGCTCGTAAATTCGACCGGAGACGACGCTCCCGTATACATACGTCACGGACACTATGTGCGCGGTCCTTCCTCCCCTCTCGTGTATGGCTAGTTTCTGCTGGTGTGGTATACACGTAGACGGCGAATTATCGCCGAAGCGTCCGGTTCAACGTTTGCGCTAAGGAGAAGGACAAGGGGGAGGATATACCGTCTTTAGGTTTCTCTGTGTATAACTTTTTTTTTTTTTTTTTTTTTTTTATTGGGTATACACATTTGTAACGTGTACACATCTAGAAGTCAATAGTTGCGTGAATACCATCGGATGGAGTGTGTGTGTGTGTCCGACCCCTCACTCGGGGGAAGGAAAAAAAAAAAAAAACAAACAAGTTGACGACTCGAGGATCATCCTCTAGCGCGCTGTTTACGATCGTTTCTTTGCGTATATATTCATACGTGGGACGTACATTAGGGTAACGGGGACGGAGTATGGGGATGTGATTTGTTACTCAAGATATCGTGTGCCTGTCCATGTTTTTTTTTTTTTTTTTTTTTTTCATTTTGCCTTTGATCGGATCCATGTTCAGTTCATCGAGTGGATCCTTGTGTACTTTCACTGCTCGATGGAACCAGTGAAAAAAAAAGTAATTGCCGAGGATGAAAATCTTTTGTACAGGAATTGGAAATTCAAGCACCAAATGCTGCTTTTTTGTTCTCAAGGTCTAAAAACCCCCCGTAAGCTAGCAGAGCCGACGAGAGTCATATTTCAAAACAATTTGGCCCTGATTTTCTATTTCCATCCAAATTGGATGGAAAAAATTTAGCACCCCCTAAATAAATAGCTGTCGCTGAGTTATATAGGTGTATCCTGATAAAAAAAAAAAATTCCAACAGCGCCAAAGGAGAATGCACCGCAAGGATCAACGAGCAGCAACTACATACGCAACAAAGCGTGAGTGCGAGACCCAAATGTGGAGCATACATGTACAAAGACACACATGTAACAACAGCCAGTTAGTTTCCATCCGCAGCTCGATGAGTATCTACTTTCGGTGAACCTGCCTTGCTCCGCAGCAATCGCTCCTCGTCAAGGTTTCGGTGTGTTCTCCTCCTACGCCTGTGCAGATCGAGCTTTGCGGTCTTCCTCCGGAGTAGACAAATCGAGCCCGACAATCGAAACTCTTGTCCTTTTCCTCCCCGCACTTGCGAACGCGCATATACAATATGTGGATGGACAAGGAAAATTCGCGTGACTGTGCTCCGAGTCTCTCAGATCTCCGGAGGACTTGCATGTCCTCGTGTCAACTCCTTTGAGACAGAAACAACGTCATTTCTGGTTGTTTTCCTTTTTTCAGGATGTTCTCTTTGAACCAGGTGCGTACAGGAGGCGCATGCATGTATTCACGATATGTGGATGATGACGAGGGGCGCGTTTTGACACTGCAAACAAATCACTTTTTCTTTGCTCGTGTACATATCACGGGCAACTGAATTTGTGAAGAACCAATCCTGGGTATGGTGGGTCGTTGCGTGAAATTTCCAACAATCTCTCCCGATTTTTCACTATTGCGGGTTTTGTTTTTTTAGTGCGTGTATTTACTCTTTCATTCAGATTAACTTATAAAGATCTTAAGGATATTTTGTGCGTATGTGGAAAAAAGTATACTCTTTACATGTGGAATGGTAAGAAAAAAATCATCATTTCAATGTCACGAATACACATTTTGATGGATAAGTGACTATTGTCTTAAGCTTAGTAGTTTCGAGTCCTTGGTATTGTCCCGCTACCAAATATCTTAATCGTACCAAAAACGCTAGTTGCTGTGTAATTTCATTACATTACACCATTTAAAATCCCATAAACGTTTTATACACCATACCTATCTGTTTCGCCTAATCGATGCACAGTTACTTACCACACGATTTTTTAAGGAAAAAAATAATGAAGCGAAGGGACAAATTAAATCCCCTATGGAAAATTTACGGCGTCGGATCTGTACTCGCCCGAAGACTCCTTACGTAATTTCGGGAGTATAGACGTATATCATGCTTATTACGTATAATAAGTATACACACACAGACTTCCGCGTGTTTTTGTTCGCGTGCGTAACTGCGGGCTGATTACTATAAACTTTCCTGTGCAAACAAGGAGCACATTGTTCTTCATGAAACTCATTAAATAGTTTTACACGCGCCTGTACGCTATGTGTGCTTCAAACGCTGTGAGCTCATGAATAGGTGCACAGTTTGGCAATTGACGCGGAGAAAAAAACTATTCACTATACATATTTGCGTATTAAAATTAATGAGGTTGCAATATAATCTCATTTAGGTTGGTTCATCCGAGCGCACGCAACTACAAACGCACTTTTTGGCTGTATCTTATTAAAAAAAAAATTGTAGTAAAAAATTCCTGGAGTATATGTATATTTGGTCATTTCAATGCGAGGCCTGTTCGGTGGACTTTTTCTTCTTGATAACGCGTTATCGCGTTTGTCGGGCCAACGTCACCCAGAAAGCCTTGCGTTAAAACTATTTCTGACTACGCGCGCGGCCAATGGTCATTATTATGCGATTAACATTCCTATTGCTCTGCGTAGTACATATAGTGATATGGACATAACCTCGCAAGTGTGGAATTAGTGGCTTTTTGAGCGTTTGGCTGTGTGCAACGCGTCGACATTTATTCATTTATTTTGTGCAAACGGTGTTTTCGAGTATTGTCAAAATTTACGTTGTGGTGTCAAATTATATTTGCAAAGCGCACCATTGAAATAAATATAACACTTTTAATTTTGTCAGCATATGAGGCTAAGCTCATTTGTTTAACGAGTAATGAAACGCATATTCAATAAATAAAGACAACAAAAATTGTTGCTCTGACGATTTTTCCAAATCTACGGATATAACTAAGTAAGTTGAACAAATTGCACTTCGAATTACGATGTGTATATATTTTGTTACTACTTGGACAATTATAATTTAGTTCTATAAATAACTAAAAATAAACCCATAAGACATTTGCCGTCCATATGGTTTGTTTCGAGTGTTAAAAAAGTAATGCAATTGTTACTATATTATTATCAGACGAGTGAAACTTGAGGTTGGCTTCTTGTTGGAGTCATCTGCAAAAATACTAGTGAAACTTTTTCCGTTGACTTTTTTCTTACAACTGAAAAACTTAATTGTAACATTTCATTTACGGATTATCCATTCCTTTTAAAATTTTTCAAGAAATACAATTATTTTGTGACGAAATAATATTTTTCGACAATTTTATTTATTTATTTATTTTTTTTTTGTGGACAAGCACGTACCAACCATACAAGCGTAAATAAAAAGTAAGCTCGACTGACACAAGTTATTTCAACAAATATTTTTGAGTACTTGTAATTATAATAATATTATCATATCACAGTTTTTGTAAAGTTAGAAGCAGACCAATCACTTTTATCTATAGTTAGATTGATTAGAGCAGATAACACATAGCTTGTCTGGAAGGATTAAAAAAAAATCAATTACCCTGAATTATAATACCATTCAAAATAAAAACCATTTAACTTGTTTGTTTTTTTACGAAAAAAAAATAAAAAACAAAAACTACTAAACAAAAAAGCGTATTCAAATAAAGTTTAAGTGAAATAACATTATATTTCTTGTAAAATAATATTTCATACAAACTTGATGTAGGATACAAACGTTTCTATTAAAAAAAAAAATGTTCAATTATGAATCATTAATTTATATGATGGCACTTGCATATGGCACTTGCTATTATATATAGAGTATAAACATCTAAAAAAACTTGAAGTAAACACTATACTTGAAAAAGTCACAATCATTATAATCGCGCAAAGCACCCCTCCTAACTTATAAAAAAAAAAAGTGTCAAAACTGTGTCTTTAAGAAAATTATTTTCAATTTTTCAGCACAAAACCGTGACTATTATCGCGAAGACATTCACGAAAACTATCCACCAGCATGTTCAAGGCACACGAGCGGAATTCCGGCCGCAAGAAGTGGAGTAAGGAAATTTCCCACCTTTGCGAAGTATGTGGAAAAACTTCAGTCACAGCAACCTGTTTCAGAAGGCACCAACTCATCCACTCGGGCGAGCGGCCCTTCGAGTGCTCAATTTGCTATCAAACGTTCAACCAAAAAAACTCTTTGATAACACACGTAAGGACTCACTTGGGAGAAAAACCATTCGAGTGCTCGATGTGTCCAAAAAGTTTTATATCTTCCAGTGACCTCACGAAGCACACGAGGACCCACACGAGGGAGAAACCCTTCGTGTGCTCAAAGTGCCAAAAAGGATTTATATCCTCAGGTGACCTCGCAAAGCACATGCTAACCCACACGAGGGAAAAACCTTACAAGTGCCCAGATTGTCCAGAATCTTTTAGACGCAAAGACCACCTAGCGATTCATATGCGAATTCACAACGGCATAGCTTGTGGCCACTGTACCATCTGCCAAAAGCCATTCACCGACCCGAGCAACCTCAAGAAGCACATGAGGACCCACACTGGGGAGAAGCCCTGCAAGTGCTCGGTGTGTGAAAAAAGTTTCACGGACAAGAGTAGCATTATAATGCACATGAGGACCCACACGGGCGAGCGTCCCTACGAGTGCTCCACATGTCAAAAAAGCTTCACCACCTCTAGTAATCTCAAGAGGCACAAACGCCTCATTCACGAAAAGCAATGATTTTTTCTGTGAGATCTTCACTCGTGTTTACTTGCTAAGCCTTTATTTTATCCAAAATTTATACATAGGATGTTCTAATTTTAATTTAGGTTAACATTATTTTGAGATATTAATTCAAAATTCATTTCTAATGCATGGGTATTATAAGAAGATCGGTAGAATATCTAATTGTTTATTGAGATACTAATAAAATATTATATTTAACATTAGATCGATGTGTCAATCAAAGTTGATTATAAATTATCAATAAAACCACGAAATGTATTGTTTAACATTGAGATTACATGCACTACAACTATTAATAAATGTGTAAATTATATTTTAGCTTGTGTTGCTTTTTCATTGGGATATTACTGTTTCATTTATTTTTTTATTTTTCCTACACTGTACAGCTTGGCAGACTGTGATGGCCTTTGCTCTTTTTTCTTTTTTTTCTGAAAAATTTTACCCAAGAAAAGAAGATTAGTACGCAGGAACCTCGGAGCGAGTGGAAAACTGCTCTTTGTGCATCAAACGTGGAAAACGGATTTTTCGTAAATATCGTAATGGAAACCTCGCTACCTACGTTTGTGAGGNAAAACAACGAGGTTACATTTTTTAATTGTCCACACCTTTCTATTTAAGCACTTCGATAATTTGGTTTCCTTTAAGGAAATGGGTAAAAATTATTATTTTTGACTTATTTTTCTTTTCCTTGCCCATACAACATTTTTCACTTTAATTCTTCAAAACTATACACAGTTAAATTTTATAAAGATCCATAAAATCAAGTGACCGATTCATATAAGGCCTCTACGGCATAGTTTCCAACTTTCTCTCGTGTTCTATACGAAGATACGTACACATATACTCATACACACATTTGATACATACACAATATTCCTGGTAATATTCCCCACTTTAGTATGTGTGTAGATGTTAATTTTTTTATACTTGGATTTTAAGGCACAGAGGTGACACCACCTATTTAGAAACTGATGATTTTTAAAAAAAATCAGAACCTTGTACTATTGTTCTAAATGAAAAAAAATATATAAATGAATAAAAAGAGCCTAATGAAGTTTCACTTCAAAGTAAAACGTAAAGATCAGTCAGCCCGACATTTTTTTTTTTTTACTATTTACCAGCACAAGGCAGTAGCGATAAAAGTTTCAAGCTCTAACAGTAGCATAGCTATTACTAATTCCGCGTATACGTAAACGCGCTCGTGCTAAGACTTTCGAAAGATTATGTACTCTGATACCAAAATATTATTTTTAATATGTTTACGAGAAAACTTTATTTTCGACTGACTGATATGTAGTTTCATTCTTGAGTTAACTATAAATTTAGTGTGTAAAATAAACTATTACTTATTGTCTTACTGGTACATTTTATGTAAGGCTTTGCAATTAAATGCAAATGTCAGACTTCGGGAAAGTTATTAATTTTATAAATTTTTAAACAATGTAGATCATTTGTTTTCCAAAAATTTAAGTGCATTACATTGTCAATATTCGAGTTTTATGTAAATAAAATACTTAGATATTTTTCCTCGTACATCTTTGCGTTGTAGAATTATTTTTTCTTTTTAATTGTTATACGTTGTTTTTGCTAGAAAAAATTTTTTAAAACAGAGTCTTATGAGTAGTAGTAACAAAAATCTTTTCGCATAAATAATGCGTTAAATTTTCAACAAACAGTTATTTTATAAAAAAAAACTGAAAAAGTATCCATGACCAAGTCCGATTGGGTTACGATGTAATACAGCAAATTTTTTAGATGATGAAAATACATTGACAAGTTTCTGCATAAATTTCCCATTTGTTTATGAAAATGAATCACAATGAAAAACATCACTTAACCGGGACCAAAACAAGGTGTTACGTCGGCGCAACGTACCATTCGAGCCTAAGCTTTCGCTTAGTAGCTCGGGACTCGAACTGGATGCGTAGGTGGGACGCGGGGCTAAAAGGTAGTTATTTTTCTTGTCTGGGTATTTGAAAGGGGGTGAGGGCGACCGTTTTGATGAAATCGACGCGGTTGTCGAGCAATAATGCGAAGTCGGCTCAGGGTGCCCTGGGGAATCGGGAATTCCGTTACCCGTGTTGGGGGCAAGAGTGCGGACTCTCTCTCGACATCTCTGCATCAGGAAAAGGGGGAAGTGCCATGACTTTCCCGTTGTCCTTTACATTTGAAACAGTGACAGTTTTTAACAAAATTACAATTTGGGCCATTGCAGTATGTTTATGAAATTGTTAACGCGATACAAAAGGGTTGTACAGTAAACCATGAGCCTGCGAACATGAATGGTAAAAATCGGATAATTCTTTGAAAGTCGATGAGATTGCTTTCGTAGGTTTATGTAATATTGTTGCTGGCTAATGGTGTAGCGTGTACAGGTTGTATTAGCCATAGTCTAAGGGTCTTAACTCTAAGTTATCCTAGTTTTTAACATACTCAATCTATATATACTAATATCTAATATTAAATCTCAGCGTAGCTGTTCCCAGTTAACCTTTTGCATCTGTTATTTCTTTAAAGTTATTTTATTATTTTACGCCTTGATAAGTGTTTCATTTGATTTCTTTTCCGGTCAGCATGGGCCAGTGTGCATGTGTGTGAGTCATGCATGGGCGTAGTACCTTAGCTATACGAGCAATCTTGTAGGTGATTCACCTCTTTGCAGATACACATTGGCCCCTGCGTTTAGTGTTATAAAATCGGTACGGAAAGTTTTGAAGAAAGGGGGAAAAAAAAATTTTAATGTGGATACACCGATGTTACAAAGGATATCTTCGGTTTTTACCCACTGTTACTTCTGTTAATAAATTTAATATTGCCTATGTATAATAATATGTCTAAGAAATTACTCTTGTTAGCTATAGCAGTACTTGGAAACTTTGAGGAACGGCGCGCACAGCCAAAATACATTATTATGCTATTAAGACTCCTATTGCTTTCTGTGAACAAATACAGAAATCACCGACGTACAATGAAATCAGTAGCTTCTTGAGTCTTTGGTTGTACAACACGTTGACGGTTTCTATTCATTTAAAGTAAAGGAATTACAAAAAAGTGTGTATTTTATGAGTAATTGGTTATTTATTTAACTCATAGTGTAAAATTAAATTTAAAAAAAGTTTCTCAGTTTCTCTTACTCTTTAATAAATGACCGGAAGAGAATTTACATTACCCACTTTTAGGGTGGTACATTATAATGATCGAAGAAACGAAAGAAACAACGAAAAAATTTTTCTTTTGTCAGCAATCATAACAAAAAAAAAATTTGTGTTTTTATACAATTTCTGGTTTTTGAAAAACAGTAAGGTTATTTGTGAAACTTCACTCTTTATCATATGAAAATAGTGTTCTACAAGTGATACACTTAGTAAAGTAAACTCAACCGAAAATGGACACTAACACGCATGTACTCAAGTAACATAAACGCAGCGGACTCACCTTTCACGTTCACCTCTATATTTGTTGATTTACTTCTAACTATGAAAGCATGGACGCTATTTTCCTTATAAACTATCTGCTTTGCCCAAAATAGGCTTTGTTGAGGTGTTGATGTTAAAATTGCTTTTTTTTTGTTATTTCCTGTTTATTTCTACCTCACATTCTACAAAGTAAATAAGTGTTTTAACATAATTCGCGATCACTAGAATTATGCGATAAAATTTTTGCAATTCAAGATTAAAAATAATTTTGTAAATAAGTAGTTAAAAATTTAAAATCAAAAAACGCTACTTTATTAAAAAAAAAAAAAAAAACTTTACGGCTGGCCTTTAATTGCAACGTGAATATATCCATTGCAGTTGCAGTTGACGATTTTTTCATAAGAGACGTTTCAAAAAAGACATTCTTAAAGAGAAAAAAAACTTCTCATTCATTGAACAGTTGCATTTAAAATTTGTTTGTCTGAGGGGAATAGAAAAGTCATAAATTAGATTAACATTAAGCTAAGAATTCTATATTTTTAATGCTATTAATATTAATGCAATAAGCTTTGCAATTTAGATGTAAACACATTATACATCATTATAGATTTTCGGCAAAACAACAAACAACAACCAAAATCTGCATTTTGTTTGGTTACACATTTGACTGGCTTTATAATTCACAAGATACTGCGTCCAGAAATCAACCACACTTGGAAAACGACTTTGATGTTCTGACTACTACGTTTTGGTGTACAGAACCACTTGTAGTTGAAAATTAACACGTGAGTATATATGTTACTTATAATGAGTATATGTGTTCATATGACTATGAAGAAATAATTCCTTTCTATTTTAAAACCAATTGTTTGACATTCTCATTATAAAAATATTTCAATTTTACAATCGTTATCTTTAGTGGTGACAGTACAAGTAAATTGCACTAGCCACTAATTTGTATGTTAATAATTTTTTTAATTAATTGAGATAAATTTTTTTAAATTGTTCCAAAACAACATTCTGAATAGATAATTGTAAGATAACTGAATGACGTTTCCGATTGAAATATTAATATTTTTTATCTTTTTTTTTCTTTACAGCAATCAACGACTAGATTGAATCATCCTCAGCCATAAACTACTGGAACATTATTATTACCTCCAATAACCAAATACGCAGTGAGCATGTTCAAGGACCACAAGCAAAGTTTAAGCCTTAAGAGCAGCACCAAAAAAAGTTTATTACTTTGCGAGGTGTGCGGTGCAACTTTTGTCACGCAGACACTTTTCAGAAGACACCAACTTATTCACACGGGCGAGACGCCCTTCGAGTGTTCACATTGTTCTCAGAGGTTTAGGTACAAAAGGGCTCTCTTATCGCACATTACAAGGTCCCACACGGAAGGGAAACCCTCCAAAACCTCGGACTGTCAAAAATCTTCCAGACACAGAATACATCTGACGAAGCACAAGTGCGTCCACACCGGCATACCTTCTTATCGCTGTTCCATCTGCCAAAAGCCATTCACCGACACGAGCAACCTCAAGAAGCATATGAGGACCCACACGGGCGAGCGTCCCTACAGCTGCTCGGTATGTCAAAAAGGTTTTGGCGACCAGAGCAATTTAAAATTGCACATGCGGAGCCACACCAAGGAGAAACCCTTCGAATGCTCCACGTGCCAAAAAGGTTTCACATCTTCCAGTGACCTCACAAAGCACGTGAAGATTCATACAGGAGAGAAGCCCTTCGAGTGCTCGGTGTGCCTAGTAAAATTTAGCCAAAAAAGGTCTCTTACCACCCACATGCGAGTCCACAGCGGCATACCTTATGGTCACTGTTCCATCTGCCAAAAGTCGTTCAACAGCTCGGAAAATCTTACGAAGCACATGAGGATCCACACGGGAGAGAAGCCGTTTGTGTGCTCTGTGTGTCAAAAAAGCTTCACCACCTCTGGTAATCTTGGAAGACACGAGCGCGAAGTTCACAAAAAGCAATGATCGCATTGTGAGCCCTTGACTTATTATATTAGATTTTGTACTGTAAAACTGCGGTGGAGAGGATAGACTACATTTAAAAACCACTGCTGAGCCGATTTTTTAACGAAGTGCCATTTAGTGCCCATATTTAATCTTTAAACTGTTAAAGATAATTCATTCATTTTCCTGGTATTTATGTATTACCTGTAGGTCAGGACTGAAGCACCACACCAAACAAAAGAAACAAATGTTCATATCCCACAGTGTATAAAAAACTGCCGATGTAATAACTGCTGTTTAGAAAAAGTCTGTAAAAAGCATACGACAATTGTGACTACGTAATATATTGTATCTCCGACTTTTGGTACAGTTGTACAGTTTATGGATAGCGACGAACGAAAAATTTTTTCACCTCTTTAAGAATATCATAAAGAAAAATAGCGACCTTATTTAGCGCCAAATATAATTAATGATTTTTTATGAATAAATGAGATAAAAAAAAATAAACAATGTACATACTTTTCTCCCGCACCGTAAGATCTCATTAATATCTGATGTGCGTGCCTCGATATTTAATCTGTCGCATGCTGGTGTTGCCCATACACGGGCTCATCTCTGTAACAGTTACGCTCGAACGAGTCAACGCTATAACAAGGAATTTAATTGACCGTAGGTGCCAGAAACGCGGTCGTTGAATCGGCGACCATAATGGGATTTCGTGTACTCGAATCGGCGCTAACGATTGTGTTACCCACGTGTATATATATATACAGAATGCGATAAAATTTTTGCAATTCAAGATTAAAAATAATTTTGTAAATAAGTAGTTAAAAATTTAAAATCAAAAAACGCTACTTTATTAAAAAAAAAAAAAAAAACTTTACGGCTGGCCTTTAATTGCAACGTGAATATATCCATTGCAGTTGCAGTTGACGATTTTTTCATAAGAGACGTTTCAAAAAAGACATTCTTAAAGAGAAAAAAAACTTCTCATTCATTGAACAGTTGCATTTAAAATTTGTTTGTCTGAGGGGAATAGAAAAGTCATAAATTAGATTAACATTAAGCTAAGAATTCTATATTTTTAATGCTATTAATATTAATGCAATAAGCTTTGCAATTTAGATGTAAACACATTATACATCATTANTTTTTATTTACAATATCTGCCAATTAGTGACGATTATTTTTCTTTAGTATTTAGGTATTATTTCATAAGTGGATCAAAGTACGTGGATTCACTTGAAACTATCCTTTCACTCACTTTGTTTTGTGGTCCCGTGTAATTCATCCAAATGTTCATTACGTTAAGTTTCAATTCTAAAGTTCAATCATCACATCTAAAAATTATTTTTCAAAAAGTCTTTATTCAACATTTCTTATCCTCCTTTGCAAGGTAGGGATGAACGATGCTTTGAATGGTTAAAATATGTATAAACAATATTTTAACTAACATCAAATATATATATGTAAAAAAAAAAAGAAAATAAACACTCAAGTAACATTTTTTATGTACCTCGTTATTAATAATTAATTGTATTATGTATATAAGTCACTATTGGCTGTCAGATGTGCTTTTAATTATTTATTTTAATATGAAAATACCTAAATTAGGACTGAAACAGAAAAAAGTGATGGATTGATACTCTTTTTATCAACGTACTTCACTAGTTACAACGAATACACTTAATTCGTTCTTCCCTGAATGTCCCCATCAAGCTCGGCGTAGATTCTCAAACCGGAATATCAATCGGCCGATTCTCTTCGCCAAACAGCGAGGCACTCCAAAATAAATTAAGGAAAAAAAAAAATCCACCCCAAGGGTGTAGGATTTCAAAGCGCATCGAAGCATCAAACTCCTCGAAGGCAGAGCGCCAGGATTGCGGTTCCATTACCCGCATCCTGTACCCCCCTACTTTTATTTTTGTTGCCAAACCACATATGCCATACACGAATCACCGAAGGAGCGATCGAAGTTGGTCCTTCTTCAAAAAAAAAAAAAAAACTTTGGCCGGTCCTCCTCCACGCCGTTATCATAGGAATCGTTGCATTACGCGTCCCATACGGCGGTTTTCTCAACCCTGATGCACAGGAATTTAGGGCTCGTGGGTGCTAGCTCTCTCGATTAGCGAGTTTGCAGGGGATCATTAGGAAGGGAGGGGGGGCTGTAATCGCCTTATTGTTGGATTGTCCGGGCGCGCATGTGTAACTCACCCATTAGTGTCTCTTGAAGCTCTTTCGGAGGGTTCCGTCTTCTCTCGAACGCTGAGGGGAGAAAAACAAAAGAGGGGCAAGTTTTAATTGCGTTTTTATCGGGGCTGTTATTTTTCCGGCGGGTCGGATTGGACGGAATCGGCCTAATGAAATTAGGAGGGGGGGGGATCTTTGTGGTTACTCAGTTGGCTAACGAAGGGGTGGGTGGGTAGGGTGTCTCCGTAGATTACGTTTTTCTTGTAGAGCTTTTCTTCTCCTATGGTGTTTTTGTTGCTACGACTTGTGTACGATGCACAGATTCTTTGATGGGCTTGTACAACTCACGTTGTAACGGACGGAATTTGGTAGAGCTTGGCCTTTACATTGGAATCAGTGGGTACACCGTAAATCCATGTTGTGATTGGATGTGGATTTGATGACTTTGAAAACCTACCAAACGTCTTAAGATGCTTCAAATATATTTAATGTCTTTTTTAGACTTTAACAGTTTCTAAAAGACCCTTTCAGGAGCTTCAAAATCACCAAAAGTGCTGGATAGCTAATATTTTTCGGACTAGACTTACAAAATCTTTTGTAAAATTCTGGAGACTTTTAAAAGACTGTACGTGACGACAGTGTACTGAACTTGTCACTCCGAATCATTGACTTCAACTGTCGAGTCACGAACCAACGACCAAATTCAAACTGATTCGGTCTCGGTGACAATGTAATATTGAGCGCGAAAAAAAAACCCCCCACGAATCTCGTGAAACCCCAGTGATGCCCCACCAATTCAAGGTACACTCATCAAATCGACCAATAACAGCATATACACCGGTGAAAATCCCGCGGACGATCCAACGGCCCAACGCTTACAAATCCAAAAGCTCATCCCCCGAAGAAAAGCTCCCTTTCTCCCCCCCCCTGGTATAGCACAGGCAAGCCCGTCACGTATATGGAACCTCGAGTCGTTAAATTGACAGCACAGGGGGTGGTTACAGCCGTGCCCTGAATACCCAAACGCACGCACGTAAACACACATCGTATGGATGTACCTATACGCAATATATATATATATATATTGCGTATAGGTACATCCATACGATGTGTGTTTACGTGCGTGCGTTTGGGTATTCAGGGCACGGCTGTAACCACCCCCTGTGCTGTCAATTTAACGACTCGAGGTTCCATATACGTGACGGGCTTGCCTGTGCTATACCAGGGGGGGGGAGAAAGGGAGCTTTTCTTCGGGGGATGAGCTTTTGGATTTGTAAGCGTTGGGCCGTTGGATCGTCCGCGGGATTTTCACCGGTGTATATGCTGTTATTGGTCGATTTGATGAGTGTACCTTGAATTGGTGGGGCATCACTGGGGTTTCACGAGATTCGTGGGGGGTTTTTTTTTCGCGCTCAATATTACATTGTCACCGAGACCGAATCAGTTTGAATTTGGTCGTTGGTTCGTGACTCGACAGTTGAAGTCAATGATTCGGAGTGACAAGTTCAGTACACT